CTTGCGCGTGAAATATATTATAAGAAGAGTAGAATTGTACCGCATCTACCGCACACTTTTCTCTCCTCCACCTGGGCCAAGCATGATTACCAAGTCAAGAAGGCTGGAAGCGGAAGAGAGCGCAGGTGGCTGGCGCGACTGCAGCCGCCCCTAGGCGTGCCGCCACACCTGGCCCGGAGTTAACGGGGTTGAAGCCCATAGAGATCACAGTACTAAGCAGTCTGATAGAGAGTGAGGTCGACGGTTCAATGCATTCGCCTCACAATAAACACCTGACGCGCTTGAAGCGATCGTGGCGCGCTAACAGGCGTGACTGGAAAGGTTGCTAACTAACGGAAAAATTGGGACCAACCGGTCGACCCAGTATGTGTTTGTATGACGGAGTGACGGACTTGCGAACTGAGAGTCAGGCTGCGGTGGCACCATCTTCATAAGGCCTTTATGGCCCTCCCACTTCGTGGGATCCGAACTAGGTTCGGCAGCACGTCTAAGTGTGGCTCCTACAGTCTTATAGACTTGCTCATGATACAGCCCAGGAGAAGGGAGTGACGTAGGTGAAGCACAAGTCTCTTGTGACTAACTCGCGTCGAAGCGAACTTTCCTTAAGTCCTGCAACCGTTGAGCTCGACGTCTGGGAACGGCCGATCACAGTTGCTGCATAAATGCCTTCTGAGCCGGCGACAAATATAAAGCCTGCACGCGTGAACGCTTTCATTCTGGGCCGCGGGGATTTCCTGCAACCATGCTGCATTTCGGATCACGCCGCTCCAGCGGAAGGTCGTGCTCTCCGTAGTCATTCTTTTTTCATATTATGCTTTGTTCCTCTGTGTACAAAATATACTGTTCCTTCTATTCTGGCATCAACCGACTTACTCTCTACTAAGTAACCATGATCTGAAGATCGCAGTTGCTAGGGTTTAACTTACGTAACCCCCTGCGATAAGTCTACTCTTGTAATAATCTGTTTCACGCGCAAGTAGTCGTCCCCAGGCCAATTTTTTGTGCGCGATGTAGTCGATCACTTAGGATACGACGGTCAACCCTCTTGACTTCAACTTGTGAATTACGGGAGCATAGCCATAGCTCAGCGTAATGCTGTCTTAGTGCTAAATTTCAGCAAAGATGCCAGATCACGCCGCAAAATACTGTGTCACAAGGTTACTTGACAGTCTCTCAACATTTTCTGCATTCGTTATTTTAAATGTCCTGA